GATTAATATAATTTAAAGCTTTAATCCAGAAACATTTCCTTAAAGGAATGCATGACACCAGACCAAGATAAGCTCATGTTGAGAAATACTGGAGCCACTTTGGTCAAACCTCACAAATAACATTTTTTGTAGAAACTCAGCCAATATTGTGAGTTCTAATGCAAAGTCTCAGCCCTCAGATTATGTGTTGTGGATGACTCTCAGCTATGACCACATCAGATTTCACCAAAACTGATTTAGTCATAGCCATAAGATCAATTGCCTGTKGCAACCAGCTTGACTTGGGTTGAAATTAATCAGCTGTAGATGTACGCCCAATAATTAGCTTCAGAWAATTYCATTAAAATCTGTCCAGTGGTTTGAGAGATATTTTGCTAACAGATAAACATGGTTGATACCAACAGGTAATCACATCATATTAGGGAAATATCTCACTAAATGTAATGCACTTGGATTATGTGCTGGAGATGATTCTCAGCTACTGTCACAACAAAATACAGCTTAATATTTGTAAAACTGACGGAATTATAGCTGTTTTTGTCTTTTCTCAGTTCAGCTGCTTGTGGCAGGCATCTTGAAAGGAGTTACCTCCCAAAATGAATCATTTGTACACATACATTCAATGACTGGTTACTGAAAGTTTCATTAAAATCTGTCCAGTAGTTTGCAAGATATTTTGCTAACAGACAGACAGAATAGACTCCAACAATAAAAGGCAAAGTTTCAAAGACATTTCTCAAGTGATCAGTTTGCGCTCAGAGTGTGAACTTTGGGATGACTCTCAGCTACCACCACACAAAGTTTCAGCTCAACATCTTTCAAASTGAATTATAGTCACCATTGTGCTTGCTAAGGTTAGTTATTTAGTTAGTTAACCTTGAATTGGGTTAACTCCAGAAGTTAAACACTTGCACACRCTCATCCAGTGATTAGTTTTGGAGAGTTCCATTAAAATCTGTCYGCYRGTTTATAGGATATTTTGCTAACAGACACAAACACTGTAAGCTGGGAGTGAATTCTGTGTTTGGCAAACGCCACCCACCCCTCTGCGTTGCCTCTGTGAGGTTAATCCAGTAATTCCTGGGTGARCGCAGTCATTTAGACAATCTGAGAGATGAAGGACGGTCAGCTGCCTGACCTCAGTGACAGTGAATGTGTGACAGACCTAAATAACCTCAGAGCGCTGCAGGAGCACACAGATTCATGCTSTTTCATACAAAGAGAAAGTTAAAAAAAATTGTAATAACTGCATCTGATACAGAAAAGTCCTGTTTTTCTAGCAGGAACATGCAGGAGCAGGAATCATAAACATGTGTCCAGATTATTATCTTAAACGGATCCCTGATTAGTTGTAACATTAGACTTTATTTGATGAACATTTATTTAAACTGTAAAATAAAGACTGTAAAAATACTGTAGGCTGTTTAGTTTTGTTAATTTTTTAAAATATATTTTATTTACACACAATTTTTGGGTAAATGATGACGTGGATAGATCCTCTGTGTGAGCGAGCTATATCCACCCTGAAGGTTAATCTT